GTTGTGCGTTAGGGACCTCAGGCTCGCCACCGTGCCTGGGTGGCGTGTGAGGGACGCCCTTGATGCCTGGGTGGTGCGTCAGGGAACTACATCTCGCGACGAGGGCTGGGGCATCCTGGGTGTGGCGTAAGTGGCGGATCCTCGTGTGGTCCAAAGCGCCACCCCCCAGGAGCCCCAATGGCCTAATGGCATAACAAGCAACAACAACAAAAGAGCAACACAAAATAGGGATGCACAACTGCCTGGGTTGTGGTTATGAGACGTATCGGATGCCTGGGCTGTGGGTCATACACACTTCGGATGCCTGGGTTGTGGGTCATACACACTTCGGACGCATGTCGTCTGAGGCTCGCCACCTTGCCTGGGTTGTGTGTCATGGACACTTCGGATGCGTGTGTTGTGGGTCTGAGACCTGAGGCTTGGGTTGTGGGTCAGCGCCCTCAGGCAAGCCACCGGCCCCGGGGCCGACCCCTCGAGCACGTCGTCGTTGTGCCCGCGCAACGAACCGTCATCACCATCGCCATCATCATAAGCATTGCCATCATCATTCTCGCCGTCGCGGCTCAAGGGCCCGGCGGTCACCGCAGGCGCGAGCAGCAGAGCACCAGCCGCCACGCCGCGTCGCCCCGCAGGCGCGAGCACCAGCCTCCGCAAGCGGAATGGGAGATCCGTGGCTAGTCTCCGACGAGGAGCTGGACGCGGAGGGGCCGGCGCTGCTGGGCGGGGCCCAAGAAGCGGAGCAGGCGGCGCTGCAGGACTTGGAACGGCAGGCGCTGACAGAAGCAGCCGAGGACCACCCGGGCGAGGGGCAGCCGCCGGAGGCACCGGCGCTGGCGCTCGTCTCAGCGATGGCAGCGAACGCCGGCGCTCCCTCTCGCGGAGGCCGCGGGCGCGGAGTCGCCAAGAAACACTTGAAGAAGGCAGCGCCGAAGCCGCGCGGCCGGACGCTCAAGCGGTGGGGTTCCGGCGGCCCCCCCCAGGAGTGCAGGTGGTGAGTCGCTTGGCCGTGTGGGGCCCGAAGATAAAGACACCTTGCGTAGTGTGCCCCTTGGTCAAACGGGGCGACCGCCACTTCTTCCCGCTGTCCGAGAATAGTTCATGGCTGCGGCGGGCCTGCGATGAGTCTCGCGGCCAGACTCACTGGTCCCGTGGTTTCCAGTGGGCGATCAGCAACCTCAGAGGCGTGCTCAAGGAGGGGATCTTCTCGAAGACGGACCCGAGGGCTCAGTTGCAGGCCTCCGCGCAGGCCGTGGGCTTCGACGAGGAGGACGGCGCGGAGGATAACAGGCCTCGGCGGCGCGGCACGCCTTCAAACGTCGACGCCGTGACCGTGCAGCTGGGCGACACAGAGCTTTCGTGAGGGCGCGGGAGAAGCCGTACTTGATCGAGGCGACGGAGACGTCGATCATGGCCGTGATCAAATACATCCAGACAAAGATGCGCGAGGACAGCACGACGATCCGGCTTAGGGCGGATTCGCGGTCCAAGCCATCATTCCAGATCGCTTCGGACGGGTGCCCAGCGATCGCGGGCAAAATCACACGGCACCCCTCCGTCAGGGCGTGGAGCGCCCACTACAAGACGACCGACAAGGAGGCCAATATCAAGAGGCTCGGCGTGAGGGGCCTCGGCATTGGCGAGGGTTGGGTGAAGAGCAGGAAGGCCATGTACCGGGAGGCCATCGTGTTCTGGAACAGAGAGGACAAGAGCACGAGAGATCGCATTCCCGTCCCTGATGAGTGAGTTGCTGCGGGCGCCCCAGCCCTGAAGTTACCGTGGGGGAAAATCCATGGGATCGAAGACGCGTCAAGCAGCAGTGGCACTTCCATGAGTACATTACTTTCATGTTGGCGCGCATTTGGCGCGTGGTCGGGGCGCATCTGGCGCCCTGGCTGTCATCCAGAACATGTGAAGTGCGTGGAGAGAGAGAGAGAGAGAGAGAGAGAGAGAGAGAGAGAGAGAGAGAGAGAGAGAGAGAGAGAGAGAGAGAGAGAGAGAGAGAGAGAGAGATTCGCTACATAGACATGCGTCGCACACATTGATGGTGCACGATTTGCTTTATACGTGGCGCGCCAGGTGCGCGAGCCGTGCGCCGACCGCTCTGCGTCGTCAGCCGCGCACTGGGTACTCAGCTGTCCGGCAGGGCAGACGGCCGAACAACAAAAAACAAAACAAGTCGTACAAAACAGAAGAAGTGCCAACGCAAACATAACCCAAAGCATATGAAAACATAAGTGCCTGGGTTGTGGATCAGGGGCCAGGAGGGGCCAGGAGGGACCAGGACCCTTGAGCCCAGGAGGGACCAGGAGGGACCAGGAGGGACCAGGAGGGACCAGGAGGGACCAGGACCCCTGAGGAGGAGGCGGAGGGGGAGGAGGACGAGGAGGCGGAGAAGGACGAGGAGATGACGACAGGCGCGCGCTTCGTGCCAGCACTGGCCCGGCGGGGCGCCGTCGCCGCTGCAGTTGCGGCCGCCGTTGTTGGACAGCAGGAGCAGGGGGGGGGGGTGCAGGCAAGTTTCTCCGTGTTTGGGTTTCTCTTGTCCCGCGCCCGCGCTTCTCCCTCCTCCTCCTCCGCCTCCTTCCCATCCTCCTCCTCTCCTCCTCCTCCCTCGTCGCCATTTTGGCTCGTGGCCATTTTGGCCCCAGGGCCAATTCTTCGTTGCAGCGTGGGCGAGGGCCCCGTGGGCGAGGGCCCCGTGGGCGAGGGCCGCCCGTGCGAGAATCCCTGCGTTGGTAGCGGCGCTGGCGGCGACTGCCCCGATAGGCGCGCGCGGCGGTCGCGGGGTCCAGGGCGATATCCTGCGAAGCTCTTGGGCCCGTGGCGTTTGTTCGGGGCGTGGGGGCGGCGGGGCGTGTGGACAGCGGGTCTGCGCGGAGCGGGCTGCCGGTCGAGCTCGACGCCACGCCGTCAAGTCGCGTCACTGCGGCCCCCGTTCATTTGGGAACAAATCCTGCCCGCGCACGCGCCTTGCGTTTGAGTTGAGCGACGCGGGCGCGCTGCGCTGGCCCCCGTCATTTGGAGAAAAAACGGCCCCTGTCCGCGCGCGCGATTTGCGATTGATTCAAGGGGTAAGGGCGCGCTGCACTGGCTCCCGTCGTTTGAAAAGAATTCGGTTCCTGTCCGCGCCAGCGCTTTGCGTTTGAGTCAAGGGGCAGCGGCTGTCAGGACTATGGGAGTTGTGAGAGTTCCGGGGGCTGCCATGGGGAGTTCCCGCATGGGCAATCCCCACTTGGGGAACCCGACATAGGGAATCGTCATATGGGGAATACCAATGCGGGGAATCGCCATGTACGGAATCCCAATGTTGGAAACCCTTTCATATAGGAGGTCCCCATGTAAGGCATCCCCATATAAGGAACCCCATGTATGGGGGCCTTTATATACGGAATTCCAGTATAAGGAATCCTCAAATAAGGGATTCCCTATATGGGGATTCCCTACATGGGGATTCCTCACATGGAGGTTCTTGAAATGGGGATTCCTAACATGGTGATCCCCCAACATAAGGAGACCTCATATAGGGGTTCCTTATATGGGGTTTTCCCATACGAAGATTCCCGTATGGGGTATTCCCATACGAGGACTCCCCTTATGAGGGATCCCCATCTGGGGATTTCCCATATTGGGGTTCCTTACGCGGGGAATCCCCATATGGGCTTTCCCCACATGAGCATTCCCTATGCGGGGCTTCTCTACATCGGATTCCTTATATGGGGTTTCTCCATATACGCGGCTCCCCTTATATTTTGATTTCTTATATCGGGACTCCCCATATTGGGATTCGCCATATTCGGTTTCTTTATATGGGGTTTCTCATAGGGGGATTACCAAGGGGAATCCCCCTTATGAGGAAGCTTGGGTTTCCAAGGATGTTTCAGTCAAGCTTGCGGAAGTTTGGGTTTCCCAAGCGTGGGGAACCTGAGGTTTCCCAAGCTTGGCGCAGTCAAGCTGGGGGGAACTTGGGTTTCCCAAGCTTGGGGAACCTGGTGTTTCCCAAGCTTGGCTCAGTCAAGCTTGGGGAAGCTTGGGTTTCCCAAGCTTGGGTGATCTGGGGTTTCCCAAGCTTGGCTCAGCCAAGCTTGGGGAAGCTTGGGTTTCCCAAGCTTGGGGAACCTGGGGCTTCCCAAGCTTAGCTCAGTCAAGCTTGGGGAAGTTTGGGTTGCCCAAGCTTGGGGAATCCGAGGTTCCCCAAGCTTGGGGCAGTCAAGCTTGGGGAAGCTTGATTAGGCCCAGGTTATATACTTTCCAGCGGGTGGGCAAGCGGGTGTCCACAGCGTTTTATATAGTTTTTAGCGGCTTGTTTCCCGAATTTCGGGTTCAAACTGAGGAAATTCCGGGATCATTTCAGGGGTTTTGGGAACAATTCGGAAGATTTCTGTGGTAATTAGTGGCGCGGAACGATTCGGGCGCACCGCCTGTCTTGCACGCGCCGCCGTGCGCAAAACATTCCGCCTTGCACGCGACCGTTGCGCAAGGCGTTCCGTCTTGCATGCAAAATGCGCGGCCGCGGCGCCCAGCGCGGCTTTCAGAGTCTCCGCGAGGCGTCGCCCGGGGGCCGCGGGCTCGCGCACAAGGTTTCGTCGACCTGTCTTGCACGCGCCTCCGTGTGCAAGACATTCCGCCTTGCACGCGACCGTTGCGCGCAAGGCGTTCCGCCTTGCATGCGAAGTGCGCCGGCCGCGGTGACCTGCGCGCCTTCCAGAGTCCCTGCGAGGCGTCGCCCGGGGGCCGCGGGCTTGCGTGCAAGATTCGCCGAAAGCGCTTGGGGCGTCTTTTTAGACGGTGTGATTCAGACGTAATTCATTTAAAATTGAGCGATTTAGGCGCGCAGTGAATTTAATATTGAGTGATTTTGCTCGAGTCGTTTACCTTGCGCCGAGTCGTCACGACACAAACCTACCGTAGCCCGCATGCGGCGCGGAGGTCAGCCGGAACGAGGTGTGCCAAAATGAGCGGGTGCAGCCACGAAGACCGTAGTTGAGCTCCTCATGGGGCCGCGAAACGTGTGAGGGGTATGCCGAAGTGAAGGTGTGGCGGCATGCGGGCACAACCACTGGGCCTTAGGTGGAGGTACATCTGGGGCCACGAAGCGTGTGAAAGGTGTACCAACAATGAGGGGGTGGTGGCATGCGGGCGCAGCGGAGGGGGGCCTTAGGTGGAGCTCCCTATGGGACCACGGAACGTGTGAGAGATGTGCCATAGTAAGGGGGTGGCGGCATGCGGGCGTAGTCACTGGGGCCTTAGATGGAGCTCCCTATGGGCCACGAGACGTGTGAGGGGTGTGCCAAAGTGAGAGGGGTGACGGGAGGAGGAGGAGGAGGAGGAGGAGGAGGAGGAGGAGGAGGAGGAGGAGGAGGAGGAGCAAGTGGAGGGGGGGTGGAGGTGGAGGAGGAGCAGGAGCAGGGGCAGGAGCAGGAGCAGGAACAGGAGCAGGAGCAGCAGCAGGAGCAGCAGCAGCAGCAGCAGGAGGTGGCGGAGGAGAAGGAGGAGGATATGGAGAGCGGAGTGGACTGTCTTCTCAAAACGAGGACCCAACACCACAGCTTGGTCGGGAAAATTACATGTGGAACCCGCACCCCCTAGTGGGGTCCGAGTAGATGGGGCCGGAGGATCGCGCCGCATCGCCGATGCATCGGCAATGTGGCTCGATGCGAAGCCCGTGTTTCTCAACGCCGACGTCGCCGAATGCATCGCCGACGTCGCCAGTGCATTGCCATGCATCGCCGATGCATTGGCAATGCGGCGCGATCCTCGGACCCCAGTTACTCGAACCCCATCTAGGAGGCCTCTACAGAGGGAGGAGAGAAGGCTTCGTAGAAGCCGCGAAGCCGCGGACGTGGGCGTGCTGTCGCCCACGAGGAGGAGCAGGAAGCGAGAGAAAGGGCGGGGGGGCGGGCGGGGGCGGCGGCCTCTCGGCGGCGCAGGGGAAGTTTCGAGGTTCGAGGTTGGAGGTTTTTTGTTGACGTCTGCGCAGGTTCTCGGCGGTTTCCCGGCCTCGGGATGCTTGCCAGCAGTTGCGCCTCGCCGAGATTGTCCCGGATCGTCCCAAACGGCCGCCTGAGACCCGAGTGGAGGTCCGAACGCCGACGCCGCGCGCAGAGGTGGGTAGGGGAAGGGGGAACAGCGTCCACTCGGCGGCGGGCACAACGGGGTATGGGGAAACTTTCTTAGAAGGAGGCTGCTTCTGAGAAGGCGCCGGCCCCGCAGGCATCCCGAGGCTGGGAAACCGCCGAGAAACGGCGCAAACTGAAACTTCAAACAGAGCTTCGAACCTCGAGCCCGAAACCTCCACTCCGCTCCCGTTCTCCTGGCCCCCCCCCGCCCTCTCCCTCGTCTCCCCTTCTCCTGGCCCCCCCCCGCCCCCCTTCTCCTGGCCCCCCTTCTCCTGGCCCCCCCCCGCCCTCTCTCTCGTCTCCCGCTCCTCCTCGCGGGCGACGGCACGCCCACCCCCGCGGCGTCGCGGGCCGGCCCCTGGGCCGCGGCCGCGCGGATGCGGGGGGCGCCCTGTCGCGGATCTCCGGCGCGGGGCCGTGTCCGTGCGGTCGCGCAGCCGCGGGAACGCGTCCGTCGAGTCCAGGCCGCGAGGGCGCGGGTGTGGATGCGTGCGCCGCTCGTGGCCTCCGCCCGCTTCCGTCGAGGGAGGAACGACTGCATGAGCGTAAACTTCGCAGAAGGCATCTATACACCACCACCGTGCCAAGGCAGGGCCATCCTGGGCCCCAGGATGGTGTATACGCCCT